CTACTACTACTACTGCCACTACTACTACCACTACTACAGCTACGACTACTACAACTACTACTACGACTACTTTTGCTACTACTATTACTACTACTACTACTACTACTATTACTTCTACTACTACAACTACTATTTGTACTATTATCATAACAACAACAACACTACATCAACAACAACAACTACTACTATTACCATAACAACAACAACTACTACAACTACTTTTGACCTATTTTCCCCGCCAATAAAATTTAAATTAAATTGCTCAGCATCAGAGCTTAACCATGAGCGAGCTTTATCTTCTTTATGTGATGTAGTGTATGTTGATACACCCTTTTCAACATAAACAAATAAATAATATTTTTATATGTACATAAATATACATATATATATATTATATATATAAATAATATATTTATATATATGTGTGTGTGTTCGTGTTATATATATATATATATATTAGCTGTGAATATGTTGATGTAGGTGTTTGTATAGCTAAATGTCATGGTATATACACCAATGTGTATGAAAATATTTTTAATGTTTGTGTGTATGTATAATTGTATATGTATATGATCGAGAAGACGTGGATTCTTATCTTGGTATCTTGTCATGTAGGCTTGTATCCTGTATGTATGTGTATGTGTGTGTACGTGTGTGTGTGTGTTTGTGTGTGTGGTGTGTGTGATGTGTCTGTGTGTATGGTTTATACATTTGTGTGTTTTTTAAAATATATTTGTAACCATTGACTTTCGTAACTACCAACAACAATTTTATAACTTCAAAGATCTCTATATTTCCAACACCAGTGGTGTAGCCTCCAACGATCGTCAAGTGTTCGTTATTTCGTATGTTCAAGATTTCCGATAGATGAACACAACTGCTTAAAAGGCAAACTTTGTTGAACGTTTAATTGAAAACCAACAGTGGTAAAAATATCAAACTAACCCGAGTAACTACATACATCACATTAACGACTTTGCTTTCTCTACTGGAAACCCGACTTGTGAATCTGACTCCGCAGAATCTTTTATAGACTTCATTTTTACAATCATTCACAGTCCAAAGGTTACAAATATATCAGAGATAACAAATATATTTGTGAAATATTTTAAGGCAATTATCTATATTTGATTGATTGTTAAGAAAGTCGACAAAGTAGTTATTAAAAATATTAGCTACCTCTTAGTGGTCAGTAATTTTACGGTTATTTTCAAAAGTAGATAATATTTTATGTTTTTTTAATATTATTTAAAAGTTTAGAAACTGTTGTCTATTTATTTATTTGTGTCATCTTTAAAAAATTATCAGTTCTAGTTATTTACTTATTTGTGTCTCTAACGAAAAAAGCCGTGCCCCCTCCGATACCATTTATTTTTGTTAACAAATCAGAAACCATTAGAAAAAATTCTTGAGTCATATCCAGAATACTACTAGGTTTCAAACAAACATAAAATATCGAATGAAATTTCAGTATGGTCGAGTAGACTTGCATTTGTATCTTGCTGCGTAGGCTTTTATCTCTTGTATGATTGTTTATGTACGTGTGTGTGTGTATTTATGTATGTATATGTGTGTGTGTGTGTTTGTTTTATTGTATATAAGGTCGTGGACTTGTGTTTGATACATTAGAGGAATGGGAATACTATAAATTTAAAATTCTTATCTCCCTTTCAATCCAATCTTTCGTCCAACATTTCGGCGCTCTTTCGTTTATATGTTTGAAATTATGTTTGTAAGATGATCACGTGAATTTTTCATGCTGCCTGTTTCATATATGGGAAATGAAATCGCCTGTTTCAAGTACAAGCAAGGTTGAAGTATTAAATGAACGTTTTGTATGCGCGCGCGTGTATTTGTTTTTTGCTTATTTGAATGCATGTATGTTTTTTTGATTAAATAAAATAATTTAGCTGATTGTTTCCTAAGCGTTTGTTTTGCATATGTATGCTTATATGCAGGTCTTTTGTATGTGCTTTACTCCTGTATGTTTGTTTGTATATAAAAAACAGATTTTAAATAACCAATTTTCTTTCTTCTCGAGATCTTTTTTAAAATACTTTCTGTTTGACAAATAATTGCGTGACGTCACCAAGGTGTGCAGTGCTATGCATTTATGAGGCGTATTCAATTAATATGAAAACGTGTACAACGCATGGATGTAATGGATATGGCATAACAATTATTACCTGTCTAATAATTTTTCCTAGTTCTATGGAATAAACAGTACATAATTTGGCGCGTTTTTTTGTTACCAGTACGGATCTCATACTTTGCCAGCAATCAAACGTCTCACTATCGTAATTTATTGTTAATCTTTAAACAAATTTTTCAATTAAATGTCAATAAATTGACGACAAAAAGCAACTAGGACGATAATCGCTAAACAACCGGTTAAAAATTGATTGTTTACTTTAACTTAAATTCACTTTTCAACAATTATGTAACAAATTTGTTTGAACAATACGTAACGTTTCTGCCATATCCATATTATATATATCCATGTACAACGTCTTATTTTACAACACTGACACTTTTATATTATTTTAAATCCATAATATCCCGACCAACATGCAAGAAATATTTGAAGACCCAATTAATATAGAGAATTTAATAAATTATTTAAAAGAAATAAATCTAATTGATAAAATATAAAAATAAATGAAAACATCTACATTCAAGTATAAACTCAGATAAGAAAAGAAATAGGCGTGAAGATAGCCTTTCTGTGCTGATACGCCGGAAATTAGCAATAACAACAATAACAATATTATTTTAATTATTTTATTTTACATTAAATTCGAAGCAAATATTTTAATCAATTCATCTGCAAAAATTTGTAGGTAAATATTGGTTTAAAGATAAAAATTTAGAAAAATTCATGGACGTCTAATTTTATTCCAGTTGTGAATAAGTTTGTACATTTGTACGTATCAATGAAATTATTAAATGGAACGATGAATGTTGCTAAAGTGTGTGTGTGTTTTATAAATAAATTTATAAACACATACACTCACACACAAAACCATACGTGCTCATACAATTGATTTGTATTTAATCTCAAAATATTTCATGTTGACCGATTTTAAAGAATCATTAATTATGGTTATTTTTGTTGTTGCCAAAAGAAGTTTATTTTATTCGTTTATACTGAACCATTTATTCTGGATTTTAATGGTACTGCATAGAATGAATAATTAACAAGAGAAATCTCTTGTGCATTATTAATATATATCAGATGACCTTTTAATACTTTCTTCGAATGTTTTGGTTTTGTTGTTCAAAACACGGATTATGTTGTTTGTAAGTTCATCAACTTCCCAGTTCCCAAAGTCCATTTCAACTCCGTAATTGTAAACTACATTGATCTTTTCTTAATAACGGAAATGGAAAGATGGAAAGTGTGTCCCGCCAAGCCAGTTGTTGTATTTCAATCGAATAACCATTGCAAAAATTCATGAGTTTTTTTTGTGGAGTAAAAATTAATATAAATATATAATAAATATTTGTAATGTGTTTACATATACGATACATTACAATACAATACATTACAATGCAATACAATACAATACACGTACAATACAATACATATACAATAAAACACAATACAGTACAATGAAATAAAATACATAAACAATACAACAGAATACAATACATATACAATACAACACAATACAAAACAAAACAATATAAAATGCAATACAATACAATACATATACAATACAAAACAATACAATACAATGCATATAGAATACAATCATTTTATTTGATGAAAATATACAATACAATACAATATATATACAATACAATACAACAAAATACAAAACATTTCAATATACAACACCATACAATACATATACAATACAATACAATACACACACAATACAACACAATACAAAACAATACAATATAAAAGGCAACGCAATACAATATACAATACAATAATTTTAATTGACAAAAATATACATCACAATACAATACTATATACAATACAATACATTAGATCAAATATACAATATATATACAATACATATAAAATACAAAACAATACAATATACAATACAATACATATACAATACAATACAAAACAATACATCTACAATACAATAAAATAATTTATTTGATAAAAAGTTATTTGTGATCGTGAGACTCGAAGATGAAAACAAACTCTTGTGACAGGTCATATTAAACAAAAATCATCTGTACATTACATAGAGCTAAAATTAGAGTTATATTTAATTATTATAGAGTTATATTTAAAAATAAATCAGAGTTATATTCAATTATTATAGAGTTATATTTAAAAATAAAATAGAGATTTATTTAATTATTATGGAGTTTTATTTATTTATTATATGATTATATTTATAAATAAAGTAGAGTTATATTTAATTATTATAGAGTTATCTTTAATTATTATAGGGTTATATTTAAAAATAAAATAGAGTTATCTTTAATTATTATAGAGTTATATTTAATTATTATAGAGTTATATTTAAAAATAAATCAGAGTTATATTCAATTATTATAGAGTTATATTTAAAAATAAAATAGAGATTTATTTAATTATTATGGAGTTTTATTTATTTATTATATGATTATATTTATAAATAAAGTAGAGTTATATTTAATTATTATAGAGTTATCTTTAATTATTATAGGGTTATATTTAAAAATAAAATAGAGTTATCTTTAATTATTATAGAGTTATATTTATTTATTATAGGGTTATATTTAAAAATAAGATAGAGTTGCATTTAATTATTATAGAGTTATATTTAATTATTATAGATTGTAAATGCCTACAGTAGAAATTAAAGTCTAATCGGTGTGACAAAATTTAAATTCAAACAAATTTAAAACACGCCCGTTGCGCTGACGTTTTGTTTTCAATTTCTGTTTTTATTTAACGGCAGGAGTTAACTCAGGTTTATAATTTTTAATGGCGTTAAATAGTAAGAGAATGAAGTTTTCTCTCTTCGGGAATCTTCAATAAGCGAATGATGTCTGAGTTTGTCTGCTTCAATTTCTTCATCTCTCTGCTCGGCATCCACATCGTGCTCCCAACTGGCTATTCTGGTTTGATTGAGATCTTGTTCATATTTAAGAATTCACTCGTTTTTGGACGATTAACGTATTGAAATTTTTACCAAAATTACAAGTTTTTTAATTTTAAAGTAATATTTTATGCAGATGTCCAGTACGATTACCGCGGTTGTTACGCTCTGATTGTGCAAACCAATACAAAGTCTGTCACGAACAACAATGCGTATGAGGAGTGCAATGATTTCTGCATCTCTCGCACTTTGGCTTACATGGCTTTACGTGTTCGTTTTTGTATTCTCCAGTTGTTACATTATACTTCATTTTTAAATCAGCGTAACAGTTTTTGAAATGCAAAAGGATTAAAAATTTATTTTCATGGCAATGTGGTTGAAGGTTCTGGCATACTGTTGGTAATGAATGAATATCAGATTATTTTTATTTTCTCAAATAACTTTTGTCATTAAAAAAAAAAACTCTAGTCGACTTTATACATTTGAGTGAAAATCATCTTTCTTACGTTCATTTGTATTTATATTACAAACTCCCTATAAAAATCGAACACACCTTCGAATTAATTTCTTATTTTAAATGCAGACACAATTTTTTTTTTTCTGGTCCTCACCTCCGCAACTCATTTCCTCCCTCTCTAAATACTTCTCCATCACTTACCAAATCCAAAGTAGATCTCAAGATCCATCTGTTTGTAAAATTCAATAAGTAACAGCGCTGAAACGGCGTTTAAGAAGGAAATTGATTGGTTGGTTGATTGATTGATTGATTGACTGATTGATTGATTGATTGATTGATTGATTGATTGACTGACTGATTGATTGATTGATTGATTGATTGATTGATTGATTGATTGATTGATTGATTGATTGATTGATTGATTGATTGATTGATTGATTGATTGATTGATTGATTGATTGATTGATTGATTGATTGATTGATTGATTGATTGATTGATTGATTGATTGATTGATTGATTGATTGATTGATTGATTGATTGATTGATTGATTGATTGATTGATTGATTGATTGATTGATTGATTGATTGATTGATTGATTGATTGATTGATTGATTGATTGATTGATTGATTGATTGATTGATTGATTGATTGATTGATTGATTGATTGATTGATTGATTGATTGATTGATTGATTGATTGATTGATTGATTGATTGATTGATTGATTGATTGATTGATTGATTGATTGATTGATTGATTGATTCATCGATCGCGATCGATCGATATCGGTTGATTGATTGAAAAAAGACAAACATTTGCATCTATATTTTTTTTCAGTAAAAAAAGAATGAAATTGTAGATTGTAATAATGATGGAAATATAAAAATAAAACTGCAAAACAGAACGGAGATGAATGTTACTGCGTTGAGCGCGCCATATACCGCCTTGCTTCCTCCGAGTGCTCAGTGGCATGCAAGAGTGGAGAATATCCGTGTGGCAGCAGGCTCTATTATTCAATTTATTCCAGTACATTAATAATTATTTATATAAACAAATTAATTCATATTTTGTTTTTAACGATTTTTTCAATTTTTCATTTCAAGTCAGAGACTTTATAGATTTTGAACATTCTTTGTTTGACATCCGCAGTGGGATAATTTCTAGCGCAATTAAAATTCTTGATGACAAACTGACGACCGAAAAATGCTTATTAATGTGCGCTGAGCTGAAAAGAAATATTGCTCAAGTTAATGTAAGTGCTAAACAAATTTTAACATTGTGCATTTACAAGAAACAATTCGATATAACACTGCTGATGTTGCTTATTTTCACATCATTTCCTGTCCGACAGGCTTGGACTGGGCCGCCGGAACACCGAAAAATTCCCGGTGTGCCGGCAGCTACCAAAAGAAGTTATTACATTTTTAGTTTTAGCAGAAATTACCTTTATATGTCAGCTTTAAATAATAGTTTTCATTGAATATAGCCAAACTGAAAGAGCATAAGATGTCCAAATATATATAGCGATTATAACCTATAACATTAATTTTATTGAAAAATTTTGATATAATTTTTCAAGCAGCAACAAATTTTTAAAATTTGCAAATAGTGAAATAGATAAAAAAATTCTCGACATTAAATTGCAGACTGTTTTGAAGAATTGAAGAATTATAGCCAACTAAAGGATTGAAAATGTGAAAATAAAAAATTTGGGTCATTGTTCACAACATAGTTGTAGATCAAGTAATTAATAATTTAAAACAGAGATTCTTTAAACATGGTAGTTTTTACGCAGATTTATCTTAAATGGGTTTATCAAAAAATTGAGATAATATTGTAACATCAACTCACTTCAAACTGAATTTTTATTGGATTTCGCAAGGAAATGGGAAAATTTTCAAACAACTTTCAACAATATCTATAATTCCATCTTTCAAATGGAAGTGAAAAACATTTAACAATCTGAATCTGTAGAATTACTTGAAAATATGTACGTAATCTCATCAGTTGAAAACAGCAACTGACACAAATTTAAATGCAAAATTTTCTAGAAAATGTATTGTTTGTTGATTATTTGTTCTCCAAACGTTCTATTTGCACTACTTTGCTTATTCATATTTGTGTTTGGCTTACAAATTGTTTTGACATCATCCTTCGCAAGTTGTTTGCAAGAGGTTGTTTTTAAAATTGAAATACATTTTCAACAAGTTAAGAAATTTGCCGAGCCAGTCAACTTTACAATATTTTATGCCGATGTCTTTCTTACCTGAAGGAACTTTCCCAAAATATGAACAACGATGAAATTATCCATGGTTCAGCATTGATTAGCGAAACGATGACAATACTCTTACAGCAGTTAATAAGAAAGAAATTCTAGATTCTAGTGTTTTTTATGTTTGAGTTGTTAAAAAGGAACTAGGAAATATTCAATTGTTTAAAGCTATTTTGCATAATTACAAATTTTAACGCGTTATAAATAAAAATCTTTCACGTACAACTTCAAGTGATTTTTTGGAAGTTTAAAATTTCATAATCATAAAAACAAATGTATATTTATAGAGATTGAATTAAATTGAAAATAATGATGATGTTTGCCGCCATGATCAAATTTTCCGGGCCAGTTTTTTATACCAGTCCGACTCAGCTGTCTAACATTTCAATTCTCTAGTTGGTAGCTATCAAGATGCCTTGTAAGTCAGATGGCATAATTAACACTCAAAATGCAGCATTGCCAGAAGCATAGTTATCAAGTAAAGCTTTGCCCGAGATAGTATTGTTTTACATTTACAATGTAAAACATTTCTAAATTAATATAGTAAACTACCGACATTAGTACATTAGTGAGCTACAATCGAAGACGATTCAATTAAAAAAAGTTCATTTCTGAAGCACATTGGAAGGGCTTGGTTAGATAGTTTTTAAGAGCCTCTAAGACATCGATGCTTGTTCAACATAGACGTAAATCCATCACTTGTGTGAACACGCAACACAAATGCACTGCAAAAATTTAGATTTCATATTTATTTCTACATTAATTTTTCAGGTCTTCCCAGTGGAGGCTATAGAATTTTTTGTGGTGGGAGGGATGTTGAGGATCTTTTTACCTTTTTTGTGTTGCTAATTCGTCGTAATTCTAATTTATTCCCATTTCGTCAATGGGGTTGGGTGATTTTCAAAGTTCTTTAGTTACTGATCGTATTTGCTAATTTTCGTTAATATAAACAGCATCTATATTATTTTCTGACTTCATGGTCTGGTGGGGAAATAAGAGTTACGCCACTGGGCCTCGATTTTAGCTGAGTTTTGTGTACATCATAAATATAATATTTATTTTATGCCTAATAATAATAAGTATTTTAATATGTGAATTGAAAAATTCTTACATTAAAAAATTACTGGCATTTTAATGTTTTCCTTCATATGTAACTTGAAACGTTTATCTTTTTTGATGGAAAGATTTTCTAATCAAAACTATTTATATTTCTTTTTACTTGTTAAGGATGGACAAAATTGCTTCTGCGGATTCATTGAGGATCAAACTGATACTCAGTTTCCATTTGAATATAACACTTGCTCTAATGACTGTCCTGGGGATGCACGTCAAAAATGCAGTTGCAATGCCAAATTTTCAAGCAAATATTTTTTCATTATTAATATTACTTATTTCAAAATCTTTTTTAGTTACTTTTAAAAATCAATAAATTCACCGTAGAACATTTTTAGCTAGAAATAAAATTTGGTTGAGTTTTTTATCAATGAGTTATTGGATGTCTGAAAATAAAAAAAATACTTTAACTTTATCAAATTGAATTTCGTTTTTCTTTTTTGCATAAATAATGTAGCCGAAACTCAGATTTTGTTGACCTTGAACTACTCTACAATAAGTCATTGCAAAAATTTGACTCGTATGGTAGGTGATTGTGATGGCGAGTGTAGACCGGGATGGAAGGCAGCTAGCTGCTCTGTAAGAGGTCTGTTAATTAATGTTCAAAATTATCAAATCTAAGAAAATGAAGTAATTTTCGAAGATTATTATTCCTTTTATGTTTTTCAGCTGCAAAATGTTAAAAGTCGCTACTGTAGACCAGTAAATTTTATAATTATTTAAAATTTATAATTTCGGTCAAATTTGAGTTTTCCAGATTACCAAGAAATTTGTTTCGGATTTTACAAATTTTGCATTCTGCCAATAAAAATTTTGTTTCTAGACTACACACTATAAATTTCAATAAAGACAACGGCGGGTTAATGTGTAAACACATAACATTCACAACTTAATCATTAAAATGACCGCACTCGATAATTTTTAAGCAATTATAATTTGTCGTTAATTTATGTTTGTGACATCAAGTAATTAGAATATAAGAATTTTCTGTCTCGGAATTTTCGATCCCAGATTTCACTGCTGCGGAATTTTTTGTTCTGGAATTTTTTATCTCAGAATTCAATACACCGGAATTTTCGGTCCCGAAAACTTCGGTCCCGGAAACTTCGGTCCCCAATGTTTTTAGTACAAAAAAAATTGAGGCATCCATGTCATGCCAAAATCCATGCCAAAAATGCAATTCCAAAATTTATTAACATATTGAAAAAGTGGGCGTAGTAAATAAAATGCGTTTCGTAGAGATATATACATAACCTTCAGTAATGTATCTCTAACCCTAACTAACTGCAAAGATATCTTGAACTACTATTATTACCTGAAAATTCTTCAATACAAAGCAAGCATTACTCAAATAATCAATTGTTCAAAGCAGTACAATCACTATTTTACATACGTGAATGCAAGCATGATCAATTGGATTTGAGCTGCGGGTGTGATGTAGTGGTCACGAGGGTGGACTCCGGGTACGAATGCATGCTATGCCACATTCCGAAGCTTATCATGTACTTTGAGTATGTGTTGCGGTAAATAGCGCGTGCCTCGGTACGACGTTTGAGCTCTGTTAAACGTCACGGAAATAGTGCGGTATAAATAAACTGACGTTTACATATAAAATTTAAATAGAGGACCAAAAACTCCGGGACCAAAAATTTCTATATAGTGAAATCTTGGACCGAAAACTCCAAATATTACGTGGGGGGAATACAATTTTTAAGATGAACATGAAAACTTATCCACCTACCCGAATACCCGAATTAGTCGAGTGCAGACTATGTGATATTTTACAAAATTTAATGTAACGTTATCAAAGATAGAGATATGTTTTATATTGCTTGAAATGCTGCATATTAGTTGCCATTAATACCATTCATCATAATTTTTCTGATAGCAATTACGTTGATACGCACAAAATAAATTTAACATTTACAAACGCTGCAACAGCAGATATTTTAAAACAATCAATTAGATTGCAGTAATGCGTTTGGAGATTGTGGGAGTGAACTGAGGTGTGAGAATACAATAGTTGGTTTGGGGACATTCTCCGATTGTGTCTGCGGCCCCGGCAAGTACAGGACCACCCTCTGGACATGCGAAGGTTTGGAGATTTTTTTTGAAATAAAAATTAGCTTAAAAAAATGTTTACTCATACGACTTTATTAAAGCTGTCAAAATTAAAATACAAGGAACACAGGCTCGTTAAATAAACTCTATAGCCATCTTATATCTAGACAGGATCAGATATTTTAAAGATATATATAATATATTGGCATGCATATATGTAAAGAGAGACTTGATCGTGTAATGGTTGCAGTAATCGATTTCGAACGCAAGAAAACTCCTTCCTATCACGTGCAACTGTTGATGCATGTATCATATATTAATTACAATGTGTTCTTTCATGTTCATAACTCCAAAAAATACTAAAAAATGAATTCTGGAAAAAATAAACTTTTATTAATTTTTTCCAGATCTAAAAATTAGAAGAAACTTATCATATCGGAAAAAAGTTTTATCATCTAGTCTGCACGAACACTATTCATACCCATACAGCAGGGCGTCGTTAGTGAATGGGGTGTTGTTGGGAGAGGTTATGCTACATTTATCAAGAAAAGTTCCGCAATGGATTGCGATAGACTTAGAATCTAAATATGAAATAGAATACGTCATTGCTTACAACAGAAATTGTAGATGGTATTGTGGTTAGTAAATTGTTGTTTATTTAAAGTGGAACAAACGGATATATATATATTACCAACATATATATATGTTGGTAATAGACCATAATTTTTACAATATTCTATAAATTCTACCGAATGTTTGGTAAATTCTTTCCGGCATAAGTTTAGTTCATTCTTGACAATGCAATCAACATCACAGTGATCCCATTCATTCAACAATTCAGTTAGTTGATTCGACAAGTCTTGAACTACCTTCTTTTTAACTTCTAATTCTCGAGAGAGATGGAGCAGTCGCTGCTCGCGATCTTGTTCGATTGTTAGATTACGTCGGTTGGTCGCAGAACTTCGAGTAGAATTTATAGAATATTGTAAAAATATATATATATATATATATATACGTCTGCATATATGCTGCATATATATATATATATATATATATATATCGGAAAATAAGTTTATTTTGATCTTAATAAACTAAACGTTCACCAAAAAACTTTAGTGAGAAAAATCGAAAAAACTAACTACAAACATATTAACGCCAAACATTCGGTAGAATTTATAGAATATTGTAAATATATATATATATTTATATATATATACACTTACAGTATTGTATGAATTCTATCGAATTGTTGGAATTAATCAATTTAAAGTTTGTCTTTCAATTTTCCTTACCAGAATTTTTAGGAAATTATTCAATTTGTTGTAAACAGAATTATCCAAGTTCATCATTAAAATTTAATAAAAATGTTATTATCCGAATTCATCATGCAGATAAGGCATTATTTCGATTTTTCATAAATCATCTTCAGTGCAGGTTTGGTTTATATAGTTTCTTTAAACAAAGCAAAGTTCATTTGCAAATTTTATTAGTTGTTGTTATTCCTTTGTTATGCATTGATATTGAACTTAGTACTAAGGCGTCGAGTTGACATTCTTCATTGTATGTCTATTTGGGGTGTATTAATTAGAACAGTTTCTGCATTTTTTTAATGCAGTGTTCGGGTTGATCAGGGATCAACAAAGTAGTATAGAGGCACAATATATATATATATATATTTAAGCATCTGGCCACATACACAACGTATCATTTCAAACACCGAAAAAAGTTTTTTTGTTCTATCATGCATACAATAAACAAAAGTTTTGGTTTTTAACTCAAGAATGATTTGCGATCGACCGTTAGAAAAATCGAAATGTTAAACGCCGAACATGCTGTTATTTTCACCAGTTATAAGAGGTGGGCCTAGTCTTCTGATCAAAAGCACGCAAGGCAGTGTGGATGCAGTTTTATGTCATGCCCATGCCATGTTTTATGCCAAGTTTCTTTAGCTCAAAACCAAAATTTTTGTTTATTTTATGCATGATATAACTTAACAAATTTTTTCTGTATTCCGATATTTTCTGACAGTTTTATTCATATATATATATATATATATATATATATATATATATATATATATATATATGTTGGTAATAGACTATAATTTTTACAACATTCTATAAATTCTACCGAATGTTTGGCGTATATAT